AACACCATGACCAAAAAGCAATTTGGGGAGAAAAGGGTTTATTTAGCTTATATTTCCACACCACTGTTCATAATCTAAGGAAGTCAGAACAGGAACTCAAGCAGGGCTGGAACCTAGAGGCAGGAGCTGATGCAGAAGCCATAGAGGGGTGCCACTTACCAGCTTGCTTGCTCTGGCTTGCTCAGCCCACTTTTTTTTATAGAACCCAGGACCATCAGCCCAGGGATGGTACCACGTACCATGGGCTGGGCCCTCCTGCTGTGGGATGTCTTTCTGTATGCTGTGAATATGTATGGCTCCCATTGGATAATAAATAAAGCTGTTTTGGCCTATGGCAAGAAAGCTTAGAGCCATTCTGGAAGTTCAAGCAGAGATACAGAGAGAAGAAGGGTGCAGTGGGGAGAGATGCCAGCCTGCCGCCAAAGGAGCAACAAGATGCCAGCAGACTGATAATGTCACTGCCATGTGGCAACATATAGACTAATAGAAAGGGTTGAGTTAAATTGTAAGAGCTAGCTAGCAAGAAGCCTGAGCCATTAGGCCATAAAATTGGTAATTAATACGAGCCTCTGTGTAATTATTTTATAAGTGGCTGCGGGACTGGAGAAACACAGGACCATGGGGCCTGGGTGAGACCAGAGAAATTTACGGCTACACCCTCCCCTATTAATCACTAAATGAGAAAATGCCTTGCAGCTGGATCTCATGGAGGCATTTCCTCAACTGAAGCTCCATCCCCTCTGATGACTCTAGCTTATGTCAAGTTGACACACAAAACCAGCCAGTACACACAGTATTTAGAATAATCTCTCTTTCCAATGCAAATGTGAGCAAGAACCAATCTCCAAAACATTAATGTTGACCCACCCCCAGATCCTCCAAATAATACAGGTAGTTGCAACTGCAATCCAGTACCCACCAGAACTATATGGTAAGGACCTACTGTTGTCAGGCAGTGATGGTGCACGCCTTTAATCCCAGCACTCGGGAGGCAGAGCCAGGTGGATCTCTGTGAGTTCGAGGCCAGCCTGGTCTACCGAGTGAGATCCAGGACAGGAAACAAAAACTACACGGAGAAACCCTGTCTTCGGGAGAAAAAAAAAAAAAAAGAATCTATTGTTGAAGACACAACCAGGATCGAAATAAAGCTAGAATGGTGTGGATGCTTCTACCATGCTGGCTAGTTCTCTTATTAACAGGAAGTGCTATGCAGGCTACTTTGGGAGAATAGTCATGAGTGTTCTCACTCAGCCATGGATCCCGAACACTACATTATTCATTGAGCAGACAAGATGTGCCCACCAGTACAATCGTGGCAAATCTGTTGCAGGAATAACCAACTACTTTCTGACTGGAATTGAGACCTACCCCACGGGAAGGAATTCACATCTGGTACTATAAATTGATTTAAAGCCTGTGGCTGAAGCTGGCATGGTAGTGCCCACCTTTGATTTCAGCACTGGGGAGGGAGAGGCAGGTGAATCTCTGAGTTTCAGTTCAAGGCCAGCCTTGTCTATATAGTGAGTTCAAGGACAGCCAGAGCTACACAGTGAGACCCTGTTTCAAAAAAAAGCCTGTGGCTGGGGAGATCACAGGCCCTGGGGTTGTATGGACATGTGACTGTCAAACTTCCTTCTAAACATTTCTTTGTCTGTGCCCATAGATTAGTGCTGTTCTCACCTTGCCTTGACCCAAGAAGCCTCATTTATCTATTAGTGAATAGTAGTTACCTGAGACTCATAATTGGCCCAAGTGCTGACAATAAATTACCTCTGAATGCTCAGCCCTAAATATTATCCCCCCCAATGTTCAAGAAATACTGTGGGAGGCCAGCAGGAGTGTAAGAACCAGGGGATGGGGCGGGATGCTGCAGAAAGCTGCTTTGCAGACAGGACTCGTGACTGCTGTGTGTACAAAATCATAGCAGCTGTGACTATCTGCACAAGACTGTGCCCATCATGGATGGGCTTGCCAATTCCCACTGCTCCCTGAGGGACTGTTGGTAGTTAATGGAGGGAGAGAGAGAAGGTATCACTCTTCAATGGTATAAGCTGCAAACTGCCCATGTTTTGATAAATAACCCGCTTTGTGCAAAGGTTTCCTCCCACTGGTGGTAGGAAAGGGTGACTGGGCAACATCTAACCCTCCTAAGGTCCCAGTGACAAACCAAAGCTGGATTCCGCTCAACTTCACCATGGAGAACCAATGAGTTTATTAGGCTTGCTTACAGAGCTTGGGTAAGGGGTTACAGGCAGGAGTGAGGGTGATCCTAAAGCAGCCATTCTGGAAGGTCTGTACCCAGCATGGAAGATGGCCTCCCCAAGGCTGCACAGATGGAACTCCTTTTCCCCAGTCCTCCCAATCTATATACTCTATCCCACCCTAGATCTCAAGGCCAATCTGATCAGGGAAGAATCGCATATAACCGATGAGGAGTGGCTGGATATGCAGGTGTCCAGGCCTCCTTGTCTATGATGAAATGTCAACAGCCAGCAAGCCTAGCGATGATGATCTTTTGCAAGCAGACACAGCTGGTCTTATGAAGATGACAGCTGTTCTACTCTGAGGATAAGGCTGTACAAAAACTTAATGCTTTTTTTTTTTTCGAGACAGGGTGTCTCTGTGTAGCTTTGTGCCTTTCCTGGAACTCACTCTGTAGCCCAGGCAGGCCTCGAACTCACAGAGATCCACCTGGCTCTGCCTCCTGAGTGCTGGGATTAAAGAAGTTCACCACCACCGGCCGGCTTACTTTTTTTTTTTTTTTTAAGAAACAGCATCACTATCAGGCACACAGGCACACCCCTGTATTCTCATCGTCAAGATACTGAGGCAGGAAAATCTTGAGTTGAAGGCCATCTAGGGATACATAGTGTGATCCTATCTCTTTTAAAAATGTTCATTATTATGATAATCTATAAGTATTTTTGCCCCCCCCAAGTAGGTTTCTCTGTTGATGAAATAAGTCAGATCAAGCCAAATCAAAAAGACCAGGTTTAATGAATGAGCAAAGCACCCCTGGGTGACCCCTCCAGTCACCCCAGAAGTGAGGTGGGGGAGGGAGGAGGAGGAGAAATCACATGGCAGGTCTAGGGACGGGAGCTTAAATACCCTGTAGATCTTGAGCAGCTCCAAGGGAGGAGCCACAGCTTGTCTGGCTCCCTGAGAGGGGCAGGGTTTGGAGAGGGGCGGGGGGGCTGAGGAAGAACTTCCAAGGGAACAATAAGTGTGTGTGTGTGAATGGTGTGCTTGTCTGAGTGCATGTCTGATGGCACAGATGTGGAGGTCAGAAGACTTTGCGGAGTCAGTTCTCTTTCTATCTTTATGTGGGTCCCGGGGTTGAACTCACGTCATCAAGCTTGTGTAGTGAGCATTTTACCTACCGAGCCAATGCCATCAGCCTGTGATACCATAGCTTAAAAGTCAAAAATACCAACCAGCACCCACATGAGAACTTATGGAAGGTGATGTGTGTTAATTTGATTATTGTGTAATAATCATTTTCCTGTGGAAATAAAAAATATTGTACAATTAAAATATAGACAAGTGTAGCAAGGTGGCACACATTTATAATCTTAGTACTAGGGAAGTGGAGACAGGATGATCAGCGGTTCAAGAAACATCTACAAAGTGAGCTGATGTCCTATTTCTAGGGGGAAGAAAGATAGAGACAATCAAGAATTAATTTAAGTGGCTGAAGAAAAATTAATTTCAGTGATTGAGGGCAGTAAGCTATGTGGCTAACCTGGGTTTGGTTCTCAGCACCCAAATGGCAGCTTACAATCTTTGTGACTCCAATTTCAAGGGATCCAATGCCCTCTTCTGGCCTCCACAGACACCAGGCATGCATATGGTGCACCTACACATATACAGGCAACATATTCATACATTTAAAATAATCTTTAAGGGCTGGAGAGATGGCTCAGTGGTTAAGAGGTCCTGAGTTCAATTTTCAGCAACCACATGGTAGCTCACAACCATCTGTAATGAGATCTGGTGCCATCTTCTGGCATGTGCAGGCAGAACATTGTATATATAATAATTTAGTAAATCTTTTAAAAAATAAAATAATAAAATAATCTTTAAAAGTTAATTTAAAGTCTGCCAGATTTTTTCCCAAAAGGTAGAATTCTAAAATTGTACAGACTCTTTGTCAAACACTGGTAGATTCTTTAAATATGAACTGTACAGAGAGGCTGGAGCGTGCATTGCTTTTGTGTAGGACTTGAGTTCAGTTCCCAGCACCCACACAAGGAGCTCACAGCTGCTTGTAACTGCAGCTCTAAGGTGATCTGATGTCTCTGGTCTTTGTAAGCATCTACACTCACATGCACATAATCCCAAACACACACACACGTAGTTAAAACTAATAAAAGTAAGATTTAAAAATATGTGGAAACTACATGACCCAGTCATCCTGCTACTATCCCCTGGGATAAGGGAAATTTGTGTTCATCCCGGGTGTTCCTCTGCAGCGAGTTCCTGGTTTGGAATGGCAGTCAGTGTGACTGGAGTTTTTAGAGCAAAACCTTTGGCTCTGGCAGCCCCAAAGATCTTGATCACCATTGCAGATATGCCAATTAAAGATGAACAGTGGTGAAAAGGCAGAAAGGGGGAGATTTATTCAATCTGGCCACCATGGAAAGAATAGAGGAAGAGGTTCAGTGACCCCAAGTCCACCTTCCTGCTCTTGAACATTAGGTGTAAGTAGAGGATGAATGGAGCAAGGGAAGAGGTAATCATAATTCAGCAGACCTTGTCAGGGTGTGGTCTGATTGATCATATTTCAGTTCTGGTTCTGCAAGGTGGTCATGTTCTCATCACTTGAGGGGAGCCATCTAGTTCTCATGTGCTGACTGCCTCTGCTCCAGGGTGTGGCCTTACCATGCAGGGGCAGAACAATGGCTTACCTTTCTGCCTCCAATCTTGCCTGTATGAGTAAGGAGTCAATGCCTTTTTCAGCAAAAGTGGCTACTGCTGCTTCTCTTTTTCTTCTCCTCTTCCTCCTCCTCCTCCTCCTTCTTTTTTTGTTTGTTTCTAGCCTGAGATTGATGTGAACCTTCAGTCCCATGAATGTACAACTGTGTGTGCCTGAGTTTGTGGAGGTCAGAAATTAACATCTTCAAAGTGTCTAACATTGCTGGGCAGTGGTGGCGCATGCCTTTAATCCCAGCACTCGGGAGGCAGAGGCAGGTGGATCTCTGAGTTCGAGGCCAGTCTGGTCTACATAGTGAGATCCAGGACAGCCAAGACTGTTACATAGAGAAACTCTGTCTCGCAAGTGTCTAGTGTCTTCCTCAATCACTCTCCACCTTATTCTGTGTGTATGTGCACATGTATGTATATGTGTGTGAGATGCGTGTGGCATATGCACATGTGTGGACAGGTGTCTGTGTGTGTGTGTGTGTAGGCCAGAAGGTGCCATGTATCTTCTCTATTACTTTCCATCTTGGTTCTTTGAGGCAGGATATCTTGATGAACTTAGCGCTGTAATTTTCCAACTAGGCTGACAGCCCCCTAACCGCAGTGATCCTCCTGTCTCTACACTTTTGAGGGCTGGGGTTACAGGATGGCACAGGACCATACTTAACTTTAACATGTGTACTGGGATCTGAACTTGGTCTTTATGCCTTGCACAGCAGTTGCTCTTAACTACTGAGCCATTTCTCCTACCTTATTTTTGTTTAATTAATTAAAACATTTGTTTAATTAATATTAAAACATTTTTATTTTATGTGTATGCGTGTTTGCCTGCTTACATATCTGTGTACCACATGTATGCCTGGTGTCAGAGTAGGCCAACAGAGAGAATCCAATTCCCTGGAACTGGAGTTACACACGGTTGTGAGCTGCCATGTGGGTACTAGGAACTGAACCTGGGTCCCCAGGAAGAGAAGACAGTGTTCTTAACCACTGAGCCATCTCTCCAGCCCTCCACCTTATTTTTTGAGACAGTTTTTCACTTGGAGCTCACCATTCAGTTAGGTTCGCTGGTTAGTCTGTCATAGAGATCCTCCTGTATCTGCCTTCAGTGCTGGAATTGTAGGTACACACTCAGCTTTTTAGATGGGTGCTGGGATCTGAACTCAGGCCCTCATAATTTCAGGGCAGTCACTTTACTGACTGTGCTGTCTTCCCGGCCTCCACTTGCTGCTTTTAAACAGTCCCTTCACTTGGTCTGAGCAGGAAGGTGCACATTCTCCATGCAGTGGCTCTATTTGGACACACAAGCCATGGAAGCCATAAATATTTTTGTTAGCATTGGCACACAACAGAAACACCTGCTCCTCGGAAAGCCAGCCTTGGGCCTGACTGAGAACACCAAAGGACAGATGGATCCTTACCATGGCATCCCTAAATAGAAAGGCTGACACTCACTGGAACTGCCTCTGAGAATGTTAGCTGGCCAAAGGCAATTTCCAGTCCTTACATTAAAGGGAAGTGACTTTATTCTTTGAATGCATTTTCGTTACAAAAGCATACCGTTCTTACAAGTAAATGAGACTAGTTTGGAGAGGGGACCATATCACATTCCTTTTCCCAAAGCCAGCTCTGCACAAAGCCTCCTATCATGTGCTGGGAATTTTGCCATGGGGGGTGACTCAGTAGATTGGATGGCTGTACACCTGGAAACAGAGTTCAGTTTTTAGCTTTTGCCAAAACTGCTTATGAAATCATATTTATCTATGGTGACCACAAATATAAAAATTGGTTCATACTTTCTCCTTGTTCTTGCCTGGATGCACCTCATCTGATCTCAACCGGTCTAGTCTACTGCTCTGCATCCTTGACTGTGACCCTCTGATGACGAGGGCATTGGTTGGCAAACTGGCGATCAACACTGGATATCAAATTTAAAAACCTGTGCAAGAGCAGGTGGGGTCAGTCTGTAATCCAAGGCAGGAGGATCAGGAGTTCAGGCGTAGCTTGAGCTGCATGATTTATTTTTTTGACACCAAACAACAAATCAAAGAAGAAACAAAATCTGTGCCTCTGCACTTCACAGTGCGCTCCTGTGAAGAATGCGTGAGCCCCTCAGATCCTAGCCTTGTTTGGAGTGACTTTGGGCAATTCCTCACCTGCCACGGCGTCAGAGCGCTTCTCTGCATCTATGTAGTAGCCCGCCCATTAGTATTCTGTTCTATGGTAGCAGCTTGTGAAGGAGTCACACGGGAAAGACTAGCGGCTTCTCTCGGTTATGGGCATGTTTGGTTTCCTGTTCAGCAGTAGTTTCCCAAAGCCTATCCTCATGCGCCTCTCCCGAGACATCACGCTTCGTTCGCCACACCCGCGCAAATCACACCGAGCTCCTGAACGGGGGAGATCACTGTCGCCCCTAAACTGCGTCCGCTTCGAACCCGCCTTTATAGCAACTCATGGGGGCGTGGCCAGGCTACAGGACGTGCTGACGTCATGCGCGACGGAGGGCGGGCCGGCGCCGGCGTCCCTCACTGGGTCCCTAAGCTCTGGTGCTCAGGCTTCATCCTCCGCTGCCCCGCCGGTGCCTGTCTCCCACCGCCCGCTCCCCGCCGCCGGGTCCTCACATCGTCCGGGCCGCGCCGCCGACATGGGCCCGCGCCAGCCTCGCTGCGGGGCCGGGAGCCGCTAAGGCGCGGTGTGAAGATGGGCGAGGGCGGAGCAGGGCCCGAGCGCCAGCCCCAGCAGCCCGGGCGCCCCGCGCGCGCCCGCCCGCGTCGCCGCGGGGATGCCCGCGCCCGCCGCCGCGCCCTGAGCGCCTTTGTCTGCCTCCAGCGCCGTTCGCATCATCCCTAGTTTAGCCGGCGCCGGATCATGGAGCTGAGCCAGCCGATCTCCCTGTCCGACCACGACGAGCCGGCGTCTGGGCCCCAGCGCGGGGTCAAGGGGCTGGTGGGGCCCGACGCTCCTCGCGGCTGGTCAGATGAGCCCGAGGAACACGCCCAGCTTCAACGGTGGCCAGAGGGACCCAACCCGCCAATCTGCTGGCCCGAAGAGGTAGAGGAGCCTGACGCTCCTAGCCGCTGGGTCAAAGAGCCCAGCGCCCTTCGCTGTTGGTCCCAGGAGCCCGACGTATCCTGCCACTTGGCCAAGGAGCGGGAGGAACCTGACGTCCCTCGCTGCTGGTCCCAGGAGCCCGACGTATCCTGCCACTTGGCCAAGGAGCCGGAGGAACCTGACGCCCCTCGCTGCTGGCCCCAGGAGCCCGACGTATCCTGCCACTTGGCCAAGGTGCCGGAGGAACCTGACGCCCCTCGCTGCTGGTCGCAGGAGCCCGACGTATCCTGCCACTTGGCCAAGGAGCTGGAGGAACCCGACGCCCCTCGCTGCTGGCACCAGGAGCCCGACTTACCGTGCCTCTTGGCCAAAGAGTGGGAGGAATCCGACGCCCCTCGCTGCTGGTCCCAGGAGCCAGACGCATCCTGCCACTTGGCCAAGGAGCTGGAAGAACCCGAAGCCCCTCGCTGCTGGTCCCAGGAGCCAGACGCATCCTGCCACTTGGCCAAGGAGCTGGAAGAACCCGAAGCCCCTCACTGCTGGCCCCAGGAGCCAGACGCATCCTGCCACTTGGCCAAGGAGCTGGAAGAACCCGAAGCCCCTCACTGCTGGCCCCAGGAGCCAGACGCGTCCTGCCACTTGGCCAAGGAGCTGGAAGAACCCGAAGCCCCTCACTGCTGGCCCCAGGAGCCAGACGCGTCCTGCCACTTGGCCAAGGAGCTGGAAGAACCCGAAGCCCCTCACTGCTGGCCCCAGGAGCCAGATGCATCCTGCCACTTGGCCAAGGAGCTGGAAGAACCCGAAGCCCCTCACTGCTGGCCCCAGGAGCCAGACGCACAGTGCCACTTGGCCAAGGAGCTGAAAGAACCCGAAGCCCCTCACTGCTGGCCCCAGGAGCCAGACGCACAGTGCCACTTGGCCAAGGAGCTGGAGGAACCCGACTCCCCTCGCTGCTGGCCCCAGGAGCCCGACGTACGGTGTCTCTTGGCCAAAGAGTGGGAGGAATCCGACTCACCGTGCCTCTTGGCAGAGGAACTGGAAGAGCCTGATGCCCTTCACTGCTGGCCCCGGGAGCCCGACGCGCCGTGCTTCTTTACCGAGGAACTGGAAAAGCCTGACGCCCCTCACTGCTCTTCCCAGGAGGCGAACACCGGGTGCTTCTTGGCCAAGCAGCCAGAGGAGTCTGACGCCCCTCACCTGTGGCCGGGGGAACTCAGCGTACCGTGCCTCTTGGTCAAGGAACCGGAGGAGCCCGATGCACCTCGCTGCTGGCCGGAGGAGCTGAAGGAGCCCAATGCACCCAGCTCACCGTGTTTCTGGGGCAATGAACCAGAGGAGCCTGAAGCATCTCGCTGTTGGTCTGAGGAGCCCCCGGTGCTGTGCCTCTGGCCAGAGGAGCAGAATGCAACGGGCTGCTGGCAGGAGGAGCCCGATGCACCCTGCTTCTGGCCGGAGGACCGAGAGGAACCCGAAGTTCCGTGTCTCCAGTTCAAAGAGCCAGAGAAGCCCAAAGTCCCTTGCAGCTGGCCGGAGGAACTGGAAGGCTGCTGCCCTACGCGGGGCCTACCCCTAGAGCCTTTAGCCTCCGAGGGCGAACTGCTGCAGGCATGTCCCGGGCCACCCTCGGACCCAGGCCCGGCATTGTCGCTGTCCAGCGAGCCCGGGACAGCCCAGGAGGAGGGTGCGCGCCTCAGGACGGTGTTCGACGCCCTGGACAGTGATGGGGATGGATTCGTCCGCATCGAGGATTTCATCCAGTTCGCCACGGTCTACGGGGCGGAGCAGGTAACAAACTGACTATGGTTCTGGTTCGGAGAGGTGTTTCTGATTACTGTTTAGGGTAGTTTTCCGGAATCCCCTCTTCCCTCTTAGAGGAAGGTATACCCACGAGTCAAGTGTCCCCTCCTCTAGCGTTCCACTTGCTACTTATTTCCTAGATCTGGGAGTGGGAAACCCTCTTCAGGGCCTGGCTTCTGCCACCCATATTTAGGACATCAGAGGCCAGACTTGTAGATGTCCCTTGAGCAGAGTTAGTTTACTTTATGTGTTTCCCATTTGTTGTACGAGGTTTTGTTTGAGAGACAGTGCAATTAGAGGCTAGAAGGACCTAGGAATTAAAAATGGCTGGAGATGTAAATCAGTGGAAAAAGCATTTGCTTCATGGTCATGGCCTGGAGCTCAGTCCTTTGTATCACATGAAGGCTTTCTGTTCTACATTAAAGCGGCAAAATCAGCAAACGCAAAATAAATCTTAAGCTGGGCATAATGGTGCATGCTTTTAGTCCCAGCATTTGGGAGGCCGAGACAGGATTGCTGCAGGATCAAGACCAGCTTAGTCTACATAGTGAGTTCAAGACTAACTTGGGCTACAGCGTGAGACCCTGTGTGTTTCAACACACACACACACACACACACACACACACACACACACACACACACACACTAGAGTACACAAGAGTTCTGCATCGTGATCAAGAAAAGGAAGGGAAGGAGCCCAGGAGTTTCTTGGCAGGTGCCAGACCTAGCAGAGCCATCAGGGCCCCCACGCTTACAGGAGAGGTGAGATGGATTGAAAGGTAACAGAGGCACAGTTCACGTGCAAGGGTCCCACACGTCTACTGCCAGACCCTGGGGAAGCTGACTCCAAGGCCAAGTCCTTGTTGTCCCCTTAAGCACTTAATTCTTTGGACTGATGATGACAGCAGGGCTGTTTGCTCTGCTAGTAACCCAGCAGATGTCAGCTAGGTTATGTGTTCCTCTTTATTTATTGGATGGAAGTCTCTGATAAGACCATCAGCTAGGTTACATGTCCCCCTCGGTTTACTTACTTATTGGTTGGAAGTCTCAGGGATTTTCATCTGTTCATTTTCATGCTATTCATTCTTCACACATGCAAACATTTGTTAAGTGGGTGTTCAAGTATTACATTTGCATGTTTGAGCTTAACAGTCTTTAAGAAAAGAGATAAAAATAAGCTGGGTGTGGTGGCACACACATCTGTAGTCCTTGCTTCCAGCACTCAGGAGACTGAGGCAGGAGGATGTCAAAATCGAGGTCAACCTGGATACGTAGCAAGACTGTCTCCAAAAACCAAGGGGGAAAAAAAAGCAAATTGATATATTTCTATTAGTCATAATGTTAAAACCTCTATTTGTAACACCCGAAGTGCAGTTGGAAAGAACTGGGCCCTGGTTAACTCAGGGCTCTCTACTAAGCTGACACCTGGGGCCAGCCAGCTTCCGGGAGGCTTTTTACCATTGAGCCCTCTTGCTGGCCTCTATCCATAGAGCTTAGTTCTTATGGTCCATTCCTTGTTCCTGGCCCGGAGAGGTCTTTCCAGTGCTTGGCCGTTGTTTACTGGTGCGGTGTGTCTTCTCTTGGACTTGCTCTTGCCTCTAGACCCAGTCCTACCGAGTAGGCTGGGCCAGGCCGGAGCCGCATTGGCTCTTTTCATGACTTGGCTCTGCTATTATGTGTTCACCGTATCATTGCTCTAGTCCTCTGGGGTGGTAATTAGGCAAGCAGTTTTCACCCTTAACTTTGCAGGTAGGAAGCTAGAAGCTGGGAAAGTCTGCGGAGCTTCCCTAGGCCTCACTAATTGCTAGAACGGGATCGGAGAGTTTCTTTTTTTGGCTCTTAACCTACAGATGACTCTAGATGTAATGACTCGGAGTATTTCTACCAAATTTCAGTTTAGTGAATTTCATAAAATTGTCTTTGAGAAATGTCTTTGGTCATCACTTCCCCAACTTGATTACTTTGGGGAAAACTTGGCTACACCTCTTGCCCCTCGCCTTAACCCTCCTCCTCAAAGGGCCTCCCCATGTAATTCTGGCTGCCTGGAACTCGCAGTGTAGACCAGACTGACCTCAAACTCCTAGAGGCCCACCTGCCTCTGCTGGGATCAAAGGGGTGCGGCACCAATCCCACATTCTTGAGTACAGACTAGAAATGGGTCAAAATTCTTTGCTCTGACAGCTCCTGGTGGAATTTGCAGTTTGGGAAGCCCTGATGGCCAAGGATTTGTTGGCATAGAGAGTGGAGGGAAATCTCCTATGCCCTTTTCTTTTTTTAGCAGCTCAGGAGGAAGAGATGTTGTGTTGACTTAGCCTCCTGGGGTTGTGGAGGGGACTTCTTGGCTTTCTGTGAGTGGTCTTACTGTTTGGAGCAGATAACACACAAAGGAAAGCAAGTTAATCTTTATGTTGGTAGC